CGCGGCCATCTTGGAATTCTCCATTAGACTCCGGTCATTCAAGAGAGACAGACCTCTGTGTATTAGGGACAGAGTTAGGGCCACAGAGACTTTAGGGCCACAGAATCGTTACTTAGGGCCACTCGTTACTTAGGGACACAGAATCGTTACTCAGGGACACAGAATCGTTACTCAGGGACACAGAATTGTTACTCAGGGACACAGAATTGTTACTCAGGGACACAGAATCGTTACTCAGGGACAGACACAGAATTGTTACTCAGAGACACAGAATTGTTACTGAGGGACACAGAATCGTTACTCAGGGACACAAAATTGTTACTCAGGGACACAGAATCGTTACTCGGACACAGAATTGTTACTCAGGGACACAGAATTGTTACTCAGGGACACAGAATTGTTACTCAGGGACAGACACAGAATTGTTACTCAGGGACACAGAATTGTTACTCAGGGACACAGAATTGTTACTGAGGGACACAGAATCGTTACTCAGGGACACAGAATTGTTACTCAGGGACACAGAATTGTTACTCAGGGACAGACACAGAATTGTTACTCAGGGACACAGAATTGTTACTCAGGGACACAGAATTGTTACTGAGGGACACAGAATCGTTACTCAGGGACACAGAATCGTTACTCAGGGACACAGAATCGTTACTGAGGGACACAGAATCGTTACTCAGGGACACAGAATCGTTACTCAGGGACACAGAATTGTTACTCAGGGACACAGAATTGTTACTCAGAGACACAGAATCGTTACTGAGGGACACAGAATCGTTACTGAGGGACACAGAATCGTTACTCAGGGACACAGAATCGTTACTCAGGGACACAGAATCGTTACTCAGGGACACAGAATCGTTACTGAGGGACACAGAATCGTTACTGAGGGACACAGAATCGTTACTCAGGGACACAGAATTGTTACTCAGGGACACAGAATTGTTACTCAGGGACACAGAATCGTTACTCAGGGACACAGAATCGTTGAATCAAAGAGTATGTCAGACAACACGCAGAGGAGTGGCAGAGGAGGCAATGTTTCAGGAGCGAGCAGACGTGGCAGCAGAGGAAGGGGTCGAGGCAGCACTAGTCGCAGCCAGAGGCCAGTGCTCCCGGTGTCATCCAGCGGTCGTGTCTCCACCGACAACCCTGCCGTCATCGATTGGTTGGCTCGGTCGTCTTCCTCTTCCCAGGTCACCTCTGACACCTACAGCCAACGGTCGGTGGGTACGTCAGACACAACCGTTAGTTGGCATGGCCCGGGAGCAAGCCCACTGAAATCACGTGTCCTCTACCTGCCCCTGTCCTTTGTTGTTCCCTCACCAAGCGAAGTATCGCATGCTGTGGGCTCAGCCCCACTGTACAGTGAGGAAGAGCTAACAGAGGGCGGTCAGGAACGGGGGGAGACATCCGCCTCTTCAGCAGCCAGGCGAAGAAGTACTGGCGAGGAGAGTGGCTCGGTAGCCGGTCTAGAGACAGGTCTGTCTCCTGACCCACACGCAGCCGAGGGGGCTAGTAGTGAGGCGGAGACCCTAATTGATGATGATGAGGCTGATCGCACTTGGCAGCCTCGTCGTCATCAGGCTATTGCTTCCGCATCATCAGGAGAAGAGGGTGCCAGCTTGGCAGCGAGCAAAACAGTCGGTGGGTTGCCCAGGAGGCAGCAGGGTCGCAGCAGTGTCAGTGGAGGCAAACGGCCACGGAGTAGAGCACCAGCTCCACTGCAGCCTACCACCACGGCCATTAGTGGTGCCGGTGTGCACGGAGGAAGTAGCAGTCAGCCAGTGAGGAGTAGCGGGGGCAAAGTTTCCTACTCGGCGGTGTGGCAATTTTTCGTCAAGCCGCCCGAGGAAGTAAACGTAGCCGTATGTCAACTATGTGGCCAGAAAGTCAAGCGTGGCCAGGGGGCCCATGTTGGGACTACAGCGTTGCGTCAGCATATGCAGCGTCGCCATTCGGTTGGCCTGGGAAAACCGTGATAAAGATACGGCGGTTCTGCCTGCCCCCAGCCCCCGCTCCATCACACGCTCCGTTACTTGCTCCGTCACCCGACGTCAATCGCCCTCTATCAGCCAGTCAAGGCTCCAACACCTCTGCTGAGGGGAGTTGTCGCTCGTTGGCATCTTCCGCTCGTTCAGATGCTCCTTCTCCTGCTACTCCTCTTCACGGATTCCATCAGCAGTCTTTCTTGGAATCCGTTTCCAAGAGACAACAGTTTGCGAGCACGCACCCGACGGTGCAAAAGCTGAACGTCCTCCTGTCCAAGTTGCTGGTGCTGCAGTCCCTCCCTTTCCAAGTGGTGGACTCAGCACCTTTCCGAGAAATGATGGCTTGTGCCGAGCCGCGGTGGAGAGTGCCAAGCCGGCATTTCTTCGCCAAAAAGGCAGTGCCAGCCCTGCATTCACATGTAGAAGAGATGTGGGCCAGTCTTTGAGCATGTCGGTCTCTGCCAAAGTGCACGGCAGCGCCGACGTGTGGAGCTGTAACTACGGTCAGGGACAGTACATGTCATTTACGGCCCACTGGGTGAACGTGGTGCCGGCACAGCCGCACCAGCAACTTGGACAGGTCACGCCGCTTTTGCCTCCGCGTTTGCACGTCCTTGGTCCAGCAAAGATGTCCGCCTCTACCACCTCTTCTTCCGCCGTGTCCTCAGCCGCCACCCCCCTCAGTGCCAAGTCCCATTACCCGACCGGCATATCACATGTGCAGGGCGCAACGGTGTCACGCTGTGCTGCACCTGGTATGCCTTGGCGAACATAGTCACACAGGGGAGGAACTTCTGAGTGTAATGAACAGAGAAATCGACAGATGGCTGTCTCCGCGCAAAACTGAAAATCGGAACCATGTTGACCGACAACGGAAAGAACATGGTGTCTGCTCTGCGTCAAGGAAGGTTGTGCCATGCGCCATGCATGGCTCACGTGTTCAATCTGGTTGTCAAGCAGTTCCCTAAAATCCACCATCCCACTGCAAGACATCCTTAAAATGTCACGTAAACTTTGCCATGCATTTCAGCCATTCCTACACCGCAAAGCACACCCTCCTTGAGCTGCAGCGGCAGAACGGAATTCCACAGCATCGCCTGATCTGCGACGTTGCAACAAGGTGGAATTCAACCCTACATATGTTAGACCGCCTTTACGAACAGCGAAAGGCCATCACCGATTTCCTGATGTTACAAGCGGATAAAGGTACTCCCCTGTGTAACTTAGATGTCAGCCATTGGCAGCTCATGCGTGACACCTGCCGCTTGCTCAGGCCCTTTGAGGAGGCCACGCTATTCGTGAGTCGGCTGGACTATGGGATGAACGACGTCATTCCTCTGTTGCACGTCCTGGAACAAATGCTGTTAACAATGGCTGGTCAGGGTGCGGTAGACGTGGCGCACAGATCTCAACGCCACATGACACCCTGTGGGGGCAGGACAGGAAGAAGAGGAGGAGGTAGAGGAGGACATTGGTGCTCAGGAATTATTGAGTGAAAATGGGTGGTTTTTCCACTCAGCGGACAGGAGTGGAGGAGCAGGAGAATCTGGTAGAGGAGGAGGAGGAGACAGAGGACCCAGACGCACCGTGGCAGTATGCTGTGGAGATGGAGGCAGGGAGTCCCTCGCATTCCTTGGCACAAATGGCCCATAGCATGCTCGGTTGCTTGCGTAGCGACAGCCAAATAATAACCATCAGACAGAGGGATGACTTTTGGCTGTCCACCTTGTTGGACCCTCGCTACCGTTCAAAAATGGTGGCCTTTTTCACACCTGCTGAGAGGGAGGCCAAAATAACGTACTATAAAAACCACCTATGTAGTCAGTTGGTCTCTGCCTTTGTGCGCCAACGTCCATCCTCAGACACTGTGGGCCCTGTGCGCTCGCGTTCCCGCTGCCATGGCAGCAGGGGAGGGGTGTGGGGTGGTAGGAGCAGTGGCAGCTCCACCAGCAGCGGCTGCCTCAGTCTGCAGTCGATGATGAGTAGCTTTCTTCACCAGCACAGTGAGGAAACTACTAACCAGCCGCAGCAGCAGCAGCATCAGGTGGACCTGGAGCAGGACCTCAAACAACAGGCTTGGGCCTACTTGGACAGCACCCTGCCAACCGAGGTAGACAATCCCCCTTGACTACTGGGCAACGAAACTTGACCTTTGGTCCCAACTAGCTGAATTTGCCCTTGAAAGGCTGTCATGCCCGGCCAGTAGCGTGGCATCGGAGCGCGTGTTTAGTGCGGCAGGAGGTATTGTAACTCCGCGGAGGACACGACTGTCCACCCAAAGTGTGGAGAGACTCACGTTTGTGAAAATGAATCTGGCGTGGATTAGTCTGGATTTCAAACCACCAGTTCCTGACACAACTGACTAAATCCGCCATGAATCATGCCCCAAACATGTTATTATTTTTAACATAGGCCTCTGTATGGCCTTCAATTAAGCTGCTTACGCTTTGCCACTCTGCCATGGGCCCCTGTACCGCCTCCTCTTGCTGCTGCCAGGTCCAGAGTGTGTCATGGGTTCCTGTATGGCCTCCCATTGCTGCTGTCTCCATCGCCACACTCTGCCATGTGCCACTTTCAGGTCTCCTCACACTGCTGGTGTGGTTCCATTTTGTCATAGGGTGCTGGCAGATTACGGGCCTCCCATTGCTGCTGCCAGGCCCGTAATCTGCCATGGGCCGCCGTATCGACTCCTCATGCTGCTGTCAGGCCCGTAATCTGTCATGGGCCCCTGTACCGCCTCCTCATGCTGCTGCCAGGTCCAGAGTGTGTCATGGGTCCCTGTACGGCCTCCCATTGCTGCTGTCTCCATCGCCACACTCTGCCATGTGCCACTTTCAGGTCTCCTCACACTGCTGGTGGGTTCCATTTTGTCATAGGGTGCTGGCAGATTACGGGCCTCCCATTGCTGCTGCCAGGCCCGTAATCTGCCATGGGCCCCCGTACCGACTCCTCATGCTGCTGCCAGGCCCGTAATCTGTCATGGGCCCCTGTACCGCCTCCTCATGCTGCTGCCAGGTCCAGAGTGTGTCATGGGTACCTGTACGGCCTCCCATTGCTGCTGCCAGGCCCGTAATCTGCCATGGGCCCCCGTACCGACTCCTCATGCTGCTGCCAGGCCCGTAATCTGTCATGGGCCCCTGTACCGCCTCCTCATGCTGCTGCCAGGCCCGTAATCTGTCATGGGCCCCTGTACCGCCTCCTCATGCTGCTTCCAGGTCCAGAGTGTCCTCATGGGTCCCTGTACGGCCTCCCATTGCTGCTGTCTCCATCGCCACACTCTGCCATGTGCCACTTTCAGGTCTCCTCACACTGCTGGTGGGTTCCATTTTGTCATAGGGTGCTGTATGGCCTCCCATTGCTGCTGCCAGGCCCGTAATCTGCCATGGGCCCCCGTACCGACTCCTCATGCTGCTGCCAGGCCCGTAATCTGTCATGGGCCCCTGTACCGCCTCCTCATGCTGCTTCCAGGTCCAGAGTGTGTCATGGGTCCCTGTACGGCCTCCCATTGCTGCTGTCTCCATCGCCACACTCTGCCATGTGCCACTTTCAGGTCTCCTCACACTGCTGGTGGGTTCCATTTTGTCATAGGGTGCTGGCAGATTACGGGCCTCCCATTGCTGCTGCTAGGCCCCGTAATCTGCCATGGGCCCCCGTACCGACTCCTCATGCTGCTGCCAGGCCCGTAATCTGCCATGGGCCCCCGTACCGACTCCTCATGCTGCTGCCAGGCCCGTAATCTGTCATGGGCCCCTGTACCGCCTCCTCATGCTGCTGCCAGGTCCAGAGTGTGTCTTGGGTCCCTGTACGGCCTCCCATTGCTGCTGTCTCCATCGCCACACTCTGCCATGTGCCACTTTCAGGTCTCCTCACACTGCTGGTGGGTTCCATTTTGTCATAGGGTGCTGTATGGCCTCCCATTGCTGCTGCCTCCACCGCCACACTGTGGCTCCACACTCTGGTTTTGGCCCCGTGACTGCCCAAATGAGTGAAGTGTGCGGTGTTTCTAAGATCGACGGCACTCATCTGCATGTCATACTGACTGACAGTATTATTTCTCTTCCCCAGCAGACTCCAAGGGCATTTAAATTAAAGGTACAGTGTTCTGCACTAATATAAAGGCTCTCTGAAGCCTAGAAACACCCTTTTTATAAGTTAAATTCGCAGCGAATATATTCGACTCGAATCAAATTTATTCCGCGAATTCGGCGAATCAGCCAAATCGAATTTTTGAATACTTCGCTCATCTCTAATTATTATTATATTATTATACAGTATTTATATAGCACCAACAGTTTGCACAGCGCTTTACAAAATGAACGTAGACATTACACTTACAATACAATTTGGTACAAGAGGAAACAGAGGGCCCTACTTGTTAGAGCTTACAATCTAGGAGGAAGGTTGTGTCAGCACCTGTGGTAGTGAGCTCTTAATCCACAGCTTGGGGTTCCCCAGGGCACGGAGTCTAAGCCCCAACCTGCTTGTTCACCAGAGCCCCTGATGGTGGGGATGGACTTGCAGCAGGCTGGGACCAGGTCGCGGTCCCCAGGTACACCCAGCTGAGGTAGAAGAGACCGCTAGCAGGAGGAACATGGGAGCTCAGACAACAAACGTTGCTCAGGCAACGTGAGACAGACTGAGCATGTCTTAAATAGACAGGCCAGCTAGGAGGCGGCCAGGAAGTGATGAAAGGGAAGCACATAAAAACCCAGGGAATAGCAGACGACGCCCATAGGTGAGCACAGAGAAACACACATGTGAAGGAACAGCAAGGAGGTAAGACAAACAAACAAGAGGCTGCAGGCTAACTTGTGACAGTACCCCCCCTCTTACGAGGTCTCCCCACTTTTTTACGGCCAGGCTTAAGGGGAAACTTCAGATGAAAATATTCCACCAGACGGGGAGCAGAAACATCAGCAGAAGGAATCCAACACCTCTCCTCAGGACCATATTCCTTCCAGTCAATAAGATACAAAAGCTTCCCTCTGATTAACTTAGAATCTAAGATTTGCTTTACTTCGTACTGATCCGAAGTACTCGCTATTGGGGAAGAGGATGGGAAAACCTGTTGATAATATAGGGTCTCAGAAGAGAAACATGGAAAACATTAGGGATTCTCAGACGTGAAGGGAGGCAAAGTTTTAAAAGCAACAGGATTGACCTGGCAGAGAATGGTAAATGGACTAATGAAACGAGGAGCAAATGTCATAGAGGGTACTCATAGACAGATATTCTTGGTAGAGAGCCAAGCCTTGTCACCAGGGAGGAATTTGGGACTTACGCGGCGATGACGATCTGCAGCCGTTTTGTACTTGGAAGCTGCCAGATGTAAATTCTTGGAAACCTCTACCCAGATGGAATTGAAGGATCGTTGTTTATCTGCAGCCACGGGAACCGTAGAAGAGATAGGAACAGGAAATGGCACCGAAGGATGATTATTATTATTATTATTATTATACAGTATTTATAAAGCGCCAATAGTTCGCTCAGCGCTGTACATTACAGAGGGGAACAGAACATGTGACAGAACAATACCAATACAATGCAAAACATGAGGGGATCGAGGGCCCTGCTCTTTCGAGCTTACAATCTAGGAGGGAGGGGATGGTGGCACAGGAGGAGATAGCTGTGGGGGATGGAGTGGTAGGAAGAGTGGAGGAGGTCGGCAAGTTAGCAGGGGGGTGGGGTAGGCTTCCCTGAAGAGATGGGTTTTCAGGGTACGCCTAAAGGAGAGGAGAGTAGGTGATAATCTGATGGGTTGGGGCAGGGAGTTCCAGAGGATGGGTGACACCCTGGAGAAGTCCTGGAGGCGGGCATGGGAGGGAGGAGGAGACCAGGGAACTAGAGAGAAGGAGGTCTTGTGAGGAGCGGGAGTGTGCGTGCTGGGCGGTACTTGGATATTAGGTCAGTGATGTAGTTCGGGGCAGTATGGTGGACAGCTTTGTACGTCAGCGTTAGGATTTTGAATTTGATCCATTGCGCAATCGGAAGCCAGTGGAGGGATTGGCAGAGGGGGGTGGCGGAACGGAGCGGTTGGAAAGGTGAATGAGTCTGGCAGCGGTATTCAGGATGGACTGAAGCGGGGATAGCCAGCGGCGAGGCAGGCCAGTGAGGAGGGAGTTGCAGTAGTCGAGTCGTGATATGATGAGGGAGTGGATGAGCTGTTTAGTGGTTTCTGGAGTTAGGAACGTGCGGATTTTGGCGATGTTGCGGAGGTGGAGTCTGCACGAGTTTGTTAAAGAGTGGACTTGGGGCTGGAAGGATAGGTTGGAGTCCAAAATGACACCAAGTACTCTGGCCTGCGGGGCGGGTTTGATGGTGGCGTTGTTGGACATGATGGAGAAGTCAATGGGGGGTGGTGAGTCCGGGCTGGGGGGGACAAGAAACTCGGTTTTGGAGAGGTTCAGTTTAAGGAAGTGGAGCGACATCCAGTCTGATATGTCGCTCAACAGGTGTGTGATTCGGGCGGAGACCGAGGGGGTGAGGTGGGGGGTTGAGAGATAGATTTGTGTGTGTCGTCGGCATAGAGGTAGTAGTTGAAGCCGTGAGAGTGTATGAGTTGGCCAAGGGAGGAGGTGTAGATGGAGAAGAGAAGGGGCCGAGGACAGAGTCTTGAGGGACCCCAACAGAGAGGGGGAGTGAGAGGGAGGTGGTGGCATTATAGGTAATGCTGAAAGAGCGTTGTGACAGGTAGGATGAGAGCCAGGAGAGAGCAGAATCTCTGAGGCCGAGGGAGTGTAGTTTTTTTTGAGGAGGAGGGGCTGGTCGACTGTGTCAAAGGCCGCAGAGAGGTCAAGGAGTAGGAGCACTGAATAGTGGCCATTAGCTTTGGCGGTTAGCAGGTCGTTGGAGAGTTTGAGTAAGGCAGTTTCGGTGGAGTGTAGGGGACGGAAGCCGGACTGTAGGGGATCGAGGAGGTTGTTGTCGTTGAGGTGAGAGCATAGGCGGGCGTAGACTAGGCGCTCGAGGAGTTTAGATGTAAATGGGAGCAGGGAGATGGGTCTGAGGTTGTTCGGGTCATTGGGGTCGAGGGAGGGCTTTTAAGTATGGGGGTGATGTGTGCATGTTTCAGAGGGGAAGGGAAAGTGCCGGAGGAGAGGGAGAGATTGAAGATGTGGGAGAGGGAGTGTAGGATGGAGGGGGAGGGAGGTTGTAGGAGTTGTGAGGGGATAGGGTCAAGGGGGCAGGTGGTGAGGCGGGCATCAGAGAGGATCTTGGAGACTTCTTTGATGGTAGTAAGGTCAAAGGTGCGGAGTGTTGGGGGAGCTTCAGTATGAGGAATGTAGGGTGGGGTGGGAGATGAGGTCAGAGCAGTGGTGGGGCAGTGGGAGAGGGGTGAAAAGGGGGTAGCTGAGTGAGGGGGAAGGGGGTTGGAGGGAGTTTGAGCAGCGATGAAGTCCCTGTGGGTTATGTCGAGGGGGAGGGGGGATGAGGGGGTAGCTGTGTGAGAGGGGACGGGTTGAGAAGGCGTGTGAGTTGCAGCAATGTCCTTGCGAATTGTGTCAATCTTGTTTTTGAAGTGATTGGCAATCTCAAGGGCAGTGAGTGAGGTGCTGGGTGGAGGTGGGGGGTGGCGAGAGTAGAGAGTTGAAGGTGGAGAAGAGTCGGCGAGGATTGGAGGAGAGGGCCTTGATGAGGGTCAGGAAGTAGGCTTGTTTGGCAGTATGGAGGGAGGAGGTGTAGGTGTGGAAGGCAGATTTGTAGCGGGTGAAGGCTTGTTGGGATTTGGTTTTGCGCCATAGTCGCTCCAGGGTACGACTGTGTCATTTGAGGGTTTTGGTGTGATCAGTCTGCCAGGGCTGGAGCGGTCGGGGTCTGATGTTGCGCGTGGTTAAAGGCGCTAGTGAGTCAAGGGCTGTTGACAGCGCATTGTTGTAGGCGGTCATAGCCAAGTCGGGGCAGGACAGGGGGAGGATGCGGTCATGGAGTTGATCAGCTGCGGAGTGGAGGGAGGCAGGGTTAAGGTTGCGGAGGTTACGGCTGGTAGAAGTGTGACATTTGGAGGGGTAGGCGTTGGAGGATGAGGAGATTGAGAAGGTAGTCAGGTTGTGGTCAGAGAGAGGGAAGGGGGTGTTAGTGAGGTTGTGGGGAGCGCAGCGGTTTGGAGAAGACAAGATCAAGGATATTACCGTCGGAGTGGGGTGGTGGATTGTATGCACTGTACACATGATGACCATACACCGTGAAAAAGGGGGGTCTTGCCAGTACTGGCACTGGCATGGTTATTAAGGGCAAACTCAGCCCATGGTAGAAGGTCTACCCAATCATCCTGATGGGCCGAAATGAAGGCACGAATATAGCGTTCCACGTTTTGGTTGACCCTTTCGGTTTGGCCATTAGACTGTTCCATAGGATGGGAGAAGCTCGGGAGAAGTCCTGGAGGCGAGCATGGGAGAAGGTGACATGGGAACTAGATAGCAGAAGGTCTTGGGAGGATTGAAGAAAGCGGTTTGGTTGATATTTTAAGACCAATTTAGTGATGTAGCTGGGGGCAGAGTTGTGGATGGCTTTGTAAGTTGTTGTTAGTATTTTGAATTTTATTCATTGGGCGAGTGGAAGCCAGTGGAGGGATTGGCAGAGAGGGATAGCAGACACTGAATGGTTGGTAAGATGGATGAGCCTG